GCGAGGGAGTTGGGGGAAGGGGGACCCTACGGCGGGCAGCGGTCGACGGGGGTTGGGTTGCAGCGGTGCGCTCAGGGGGATTCAACGAGGGTTGTCTCGCCAGGGTGGTCGACATGGGAAGGGCACAGCGCCACCAACATGAGCCTGCCCCAGACCATGTGCAGGACACATTCGGGGCCCGCTCCCCTGTATATCGGTACCTGGTTGTCGGCCAGAAGGTCGACAACAAGGGGGTCATGATGCTCCGTTGCACGTTTTGCGACAAAGTTTTCCAAGGGACCCAATTGCAGGCCACGGGACACTTCACACAGACAAACGACTGCAAGGACGGCAACGACGAGGCGTTGTATAAGATCGCGTGACGGACTGAATAGAAGTTCGAGGCTGATCAGATGCAGAGGGTTGCCAGGTATGCAACGGAGCGCGGACTCGATGTGCCCGACACGGGTGGTGCAAGGGGAGGAGAGGCGGGGCGGCGTCCGGTGGAGGGAGGGGTGGGTGGAGATAGTGGGCATGGTGCGCCAGACCACCCATTGGGGGTTGGAGGCGGTGACACGAAGGAGGGCATGATCCACGTCGATCGCGAGGCGCGTGGCCCAGGCGAGGAGGGAGTCCCGGAACACGAGGACATGCCAGAGTTTTATACAGGCACTGGGGAGAGGATGGAGGACAGGCGGAGGCGAGCAGACAAAGGAGCTGCAAAGGAGGGGTCTTCCAAGAGGAAGGAAGGAGGAACTGATCCAGCTGCCACCACAGCAGGAAAGAGGCTTCGCCAACAGAAGGTGACTGATGTCTACGGTGGCGAGTGGGTTGCTCGTCACAAGAAAGCATTCCTTCGCTGACTCTATTCTAGTGGGGTCTCCTTCAATGCCTTCCGCAACCGGGCTTGGAAGGCATATCAACAGGTGCTTCTTGAGCAGCCTGGCAGTTCCCCGCGCGATGTGTTCCCCAACCACAGCGAGATTGCGAGTATGCGGGCGGTGGAGACCTATCGTGCGGAGCTGGCGGAGGAGTTGGAGGAGATGAGAGGAAATCACGAGAGGAAATCATGAGACGGGAGACCGATCGTGAAGTTGGAGGAGTTGGAGGAGTTGGAGGAGGGTGACTGGTGCCACCCTCCTCTCCGATGGGAGGAAATTACGAGACGGGAGACCGATCGTGAATTCCCTTGCCGCTGGCTCGCGAGGGGTCGTCGTGGACACGACGATCAAATGAGAGGGCAAGACGAACGATGCAGTGCACGTCCTTCGAGAGGATGTTGGCCCTGCAGGACACTTTGTAGGACATGATGCGAGGGGATGACGTCCGGGTTTTTGCTTCCATCCCGTGGTCCGCCGATGTGTGCGTCATGGCGCGTTGGGTGCGCCAACAGATCAGATGGGATCCATGGTGGCAGAGGGTGACCACCATCGACCATATCATGCAGCCCGTCATGGAGTTGCTTAGGCGGATGGATCGTGGAGGACAGTACATGTCCCTCATGATCGAGTGGACACAAAATCTTGTCCTCAGTGTCACGGACGCATGCGCTCCTTTGGGGAAGTCATTCGCCGACCAGATCATCAGGCGTGTGCAGGCTCGCACACAGCACATGCTTGAGCCGGCTTGACTTGTGGGGCAAGCCAAGAGGTACATTCTGACGCAGACGGGTTTCGAGTTGAAGGGTGCGAACTACATCCTTGCATGTCGGCAGTTTGAGGACTTCCACATTCAGCAGGGCAGGTTCGGGGATTGGGGCGGGGCGGAGGGGCGTGCTCGTGGGCGAGCGTGCAGCGGCGACGACGAGAAAATTGAGTGCGCGTCTTGGTGGTCTCAGTTCGGGGCGGACGGGCCAGAGTTGCAGCGGTGTGCTCTTCGGGCTATGCACATGTGGTCTTGCGCCTCTCCAGCGGAGAGGAACTGGGCAGTCCACGAGGGCATTCACACGAAGAAGCGCAACCAGTTGGCCTTCGAGAAGGTCATTCAACTCGTTGAGATCACCGCAAATGTGTGGTTGACGGAGTATCGGCGGGCTGGATGCGGTTATGTGCTGCCATGGCAGCGGGACGAGGGCATGCTGGATTGCCAGGCATGACTCGAGGTCTGTGTCGTCCCCCGTACGTCGTACGGGGGGTCCACGTACGGACCGTACGTACAGACGGACGAACGGTCGTACAACCGTATGGACGACGACCGTACGAGGGTGATTTAAGGGGGGAAAAAAATAAAAATAGGGTTGTAGATCTCGAAAAGATCTATAACCCCCTTTTTTTTTTTTTTTGGCCTTGAAAACAATTTTTGAAAAATCAAAAACAAGAAAAAAAGAAAAAAAAAATCTGGTAGCATAAAAAAATGGGCAGTTGCCTCGCGTGCGTGAGTGTGTGTGTGTGTGTGTGTGTGTTCGCGGGGGGGAGGCGACCCCCCCCCTGATAATCAATCAATCAATCAATCAATCAATCAATCAATCAATGATTTTTTATTTTTTTTTCGTTTTTTAATTTTATTTTACAATCAATCGACCAATCAATCAACTAATCAATCAACTAATCAATCAACTAATCAATCAACTAATCAAACAACTAATCAATCAATCGGTGTTGGAGAGCGGGGCGAAGCGGGCCGGGGAGGGGAGCGGAGCGGGGCGTGCACATGAAGAGCGCGGGGGAAGGACGGAGCAGAGCGGGAGGGGGAAATGGTGGGGGACGTGCACAGGCAAAGCGCGGGGGAAGGACGGAGTAGAGCGAATTTGGAAAATGGTGCGGCGATGTGCAACTGAGACAGCGCGGGGGAAGGACGGAGCAGAGCGGGAGGGGGAAATGG